TATTCCGAATCGAATGAGCTATTAAACATAATTTTCGTAATAGTATGTCCCAAAAACACGCTTTTGAACTTGTCACAGTCTGCGGGGTATCACAAATTTATTCAATTTTAATGAACCAACTGTTATCAGTACATTAAATTTTATATTTTATTTTAATAAATGTATACATGAGTTTTATTTTTAAAAAAATACTTTTTATCATTTCATAAACATTTTAAATCGTTGTTATCAATGATTATTTAAATGGGTATTATTTATTTAGTAAAATTAATCAAGGTGATTTACTACAGCAGAATTTCAAATAAACGAAATTATTTTGGGTAAAAAAATTTGATTCCTATAAAGGACTAATCACATGAAATAGACACATAATCATAGGTCTGTCCGAGTTCTTTAAAAATACATATGGTTACCCTAATTCGCAAACGTCGTAAGTCCACTTTTATTGAAACAAGTATTAGAGGTAATTTAAAAAACCGACGTTATTGACGGTGTGTCTGACAACAGAAACGTGTGTTCCAACACAACCAAGTTTCGAATTCAGTCCTAATCAACGACAGGTGGTGGACTGGCCGTCAACAATAAGTTGTGGACTGATTTGTGTAAGGTTCCAAGATTGTTATTGGAACAAATCTTAGTTGTACGCGACAAATAATTTGGAATCCAACTGTTCCACTGGTTCTCGGACGTTTACATCAAGTTTTAAAGGATTTGTTTTGGTTCAAACAGAACCGTCGAATCCAGTTTTCAAATACAGTGGAGGAATTAATTTTTTAAGAACACGCCGCGAGGTTATAACAGCCTCTTAGCTGATCAGTGATTCTGAACTAGTTTCCAAAAGAACCAAAACACACCTAAAGCAACCCGAACAAACCTATAATAACATTGATTTTCAATAGATCTGCTTGAGTTAGATAAAAAAAGTATTTCAATCTAAACTGAAAATTCTATTTAGCATTTCCTCCTTAAGAGAAACTTACGGTCCAGGTGTAATTAAATAAGTGAAAACCGTAAAAAGTCGGAAATTGCGTCCTCTCCTAGCTTCGTAAGTCGCCTTCTAAGATCAATAAGATGACATTCATTTCGGTTTCTATCCAGTCATCGCCTTCACACTAACTACAAATGCATTGGCGTACACTTACTATTTTTGAAATAACGTCTAGTTAACTATTAATTTAAATCTATGATTAAATCTATAATGATCCGTTAAAATAAAAAATTGCATTGCAAGAGCCCCAGTAGTGGCTTATCTGTAAGGGATACAGTACAAAAGAAAACCAGTTTATACAAACATAAAATGAAAAAAAATCTACCCATACTATTTTTAATATTTATAATGATCCGTTAAAATAAAAAATCGCGTTGTACAAGCCCCAGAAGTAGCTTATCTGTAAGGTCTACAGCCCCCCAGCAGTCTCAGTAAAGTTGTAGGTATAAAGCTTTTAATGTTTAAGGAAGGTATATTATATTTTATAAAAAACACTGAAAGTTTCTTACCAACAACTGAACTGTGACCTATATTCTGTCAGTGTGAACCCCCAATATCTTAGTCACGAGCCGCCACTGCCTCCCAGTACAAGGAAAAACCAGTTCATATAAATATAAAATGAAAAAAAATTACGCTATCTACCCATACTATTTTTAATAATATGGAACACTTAAAAAGTTAATTAATACTAACAGTCAAAATTTTCCAAATTTTATTAAATTTAATTTAAACAATGAACGCTAAATCGAACATAATGTTACTGAAATTGCAAGTAAATTTAATATATTTTTTATAGGTAGCATTACTCAAATAGTTGATAGCACCTCTACTGAAATAACAGGAAATTTCTGTAACTATAATATACAGGGTGAGTCGGGAGGAGCGCACCAAACTCTAGGAGTATATTATACACGTGAAAATAATTTCAAGTTATAGCATATTAACAATTAAACAAATTTACACATAAAAATTCTCTTAATCATAGCGTTCTTTCAATAAATGTTCAAAAATACCGCCATTGACTTCTAAACATTTTCTGATTCGTCTACGAAGAGCGTTTGTTGCTCTCCTAATTGATTCATTTCTTTCTTCTTTAATATGGGCTGCAGTATTCTCAGTTCGTCTAATTTTTATTTATTTTTATTCATTTTTATTCATTTTTATTCATTTTTATTCATTTTATTCATTTTTATTCATTTTTATTCATTTTTATTCATTTTTATTCATTTTTATTCATTTTTATTCATTTTTATTCATTTTTATTCATTTTTATTCATTTTTATTCATTTTTATTAATTTTTATTAATTTTTATTCATTTTTATTCATTTTTATTCATTTTTATTCATTTTTATTCATTTTTATTCATTTTTATTCATTTTTATTCATTTTTATTCATTTTTATTCATTTTTATTCATTTTTATTCATTTTTATTCATTTTTATTCATTTTTATTCATTTTTATTCATTTTTATTCATTTTTATTCATTTTTATTCATTTTTATTCATTTTTATTCATTTTTATTCATTTTTATTCATTTTTATTCATTTTTATTCACTTTTATTCATTTTTATTTTTTTTTAATTTTAGTTTATTTTTATGATACTACCATACAAAAATCTAATAACCACAGAGCACGTCATTATTTATTTATGCTAAAATTATAATTTTCAAGTTTAACATTCAAAAAATTTATACATTTATACTATTAAACAAATTTTCACCCCCATTTCCCCCATAAAATGTTAAAATGCAAAAACCTTGAAACACTTCATTATTTATTTATGATGAGAACCTACAATTCCAATTTTCAAGTTCCTTCCTTTAAAAAATCGATATTTCCAAATAAACTTTCACCCCCCGTTTCCCCCCTTAAAATGTGAAAATCCAAAAACCCTAAAACACGTCATTATTAATTTAGCTGCAATTCCAATTTTCATGTTTCTAACTATAAAAAGATCAAAAAATATATACTCTCATACAAACTTTCACCCCCCGTTTACCCCCCTTAAGATGTAAAAATATAAACACCCTAAAACACATTATTATTAATTTGTACTCAGTAGCTGCAATTCCAATTTTCTTGTTTCTAACTTAAAGAGAACCAAAAACATGGATACTCCCAAATAAATTTTCACCCCCTATTTCCCCTGCTTAAAATGTGAAAATCCAATAATTCTGAACATGCCATTAATAATTTGTGGTCAGTAGATGCAGTTCCAATTTTCATGTTTCTAACTTCAAAGACAACAAAAATAATCGATAGTCCCATACAAACTTTCACCCCATGTTTTCTCCCCTTAAATTGTGAAAATCCAAAAACCCTGAAACACGTCATTATTTATTTATGCTTAGTAGCTGTAATTTAAATTTTCATGTTTCTAACTTTAAAGAACAAAGAGTTTCATTAAAAGCTTCCTCCCCCCATTTCCCCCTTTTAAAGTTAAATTTTCCAAAAATCCTTTCTTACGTTGCTTACGTTATAAAATAAACCTATGTTCCAAAGTTCAGCTTTCTAGGCTCAGTAGTTTTGGCTGTACGTTGATAGGTCAGTCAGTCAGTCAGTCAGTCAGTCAGTCAGGACAAACAATTTTATATTATATATAGATTTAGAAAAAAAATAGTTACTTCAATATACCTACTAGTGATAAAACTTGAAATTACAATTCTTATTTATTTCTCTTTCTGCAAAGTTATTGTTGTTAGTACTGGTTTTTTTTAATAACTTCCACAATTCTGCTGTTATTTTTATGTCCTACAATTTTAGTCTAGTAATAGCTATTTTTTATAGGTCTAACATCTACGTTGCGTTTTTGTATAAATTTTTACCAATTTCCTTGATTTTTATTAGACCTAAAAATCCCATAACTTTCTTATCTGTCTTTTTCGGCCGCTTGTACATATTGATTCCACCACATTTTGTTTTAAGGTAATAACTTGATTGCGTCGTCAGCTGCAACCTTATTTAAAACATTTATAATTTTTGACAAAAAATATCTATATTGCTTAAGAACATCGTATGTAAAATTACCACCAATAATTTGGTATTTATAGCTTGAACATTTATAATTCTTCCCCAACTTATTTCTATATTAAATTGGTCGAAAATATTAAAAATAATACCAATGAACATCTCAAATAGGTTCAATTAACGTTCAAGAACTATTTTCCTAATAAACCTGGATCAAACAATTGGATACATAATCCTTTTCTAGGAAATAATTCTTTAACTTTACTGAAAATAAAAAACTCATTGGCTTATCCCTCTGACAATTCACCTATTTTTAAAATGTCCCGTTCCCCGTAAAATAAATCCTGACTAAGCCAATGCCCAACTACTCTCTTGACAAATTAAACGTTTCTATTCCCGGACCGGAAGTAACAGAACCTATTTAGTGTACCCAGAAGATTAGAAAAAATTGGTTAGAGACAGTTATTTTGATCGCAACCGCAGTTTAGGTAAGGCGTGTACGTATGTACAAACAGCAATTTATAATCGCTGGCAGATCTCTATAATGATTTTAAAGAGAACGTGTCTTGAAGATTAAAACAAAATCCACTTGATTGAAACTTCAAATAATCTATTCTATAAAGTGTGGAATCTGATAATGTATAACATTAATAAAACTGTTAAGTGATAATTAAAATTAGTGATAAATATTTCACATAACAAAAAGTGGCGTAGCGTGTAGCAGGCCAAGAGGCGACAACGGCCCTCCCTCTGCCCTTTACGTTTAGGGCACTCTATACACTCCTCACAGAAAAGATTCGCCCCCTCCATATTTTAACCCACGTTACGCCACTGTTAACAAAATACATAGGCAGATACGGAATGATGCCAAGTTGGAATGTAAATCTCAAAGTTCTGAGACTTTTAGAACGACCTATAATCGTAAGAGCTCGTCATAGAGTTTGGAACCCAATTATATAAATGTGCTTACAAATATGGCATTTCAAAAACACCCATAGTAATAGTCATAACAAGTCAACTAATGGAATCAAACAAAACTCACCTGGAAATCGAAATCCTTGAACATCTCTAACGTATTTATATCAGCTTCCGCCGCACTCAACTTTGGACACGTTCCGAAGTGTTTGGACGCGCCATTTTTGTCTTTAGTTTCGTTGACGATGTCCCTGAAGAATCGCTGAATTCGCCTACCGTCCGAAACGTCGCTCGCTTGGGGTTCGGCTCTTTGACTGATATCTGACATGTAGCTGGTGTAATACACGCAAAGGAGGACGGTGAGCCCGATGGCGGATAGAGCGAAGCATCTAAAGGAGAAATAAATGAGCCAATGGTACTTAGTTTTAAAAATATCTGCAGTAGATTACAAATGACTGAAATAACGATATATGTTTTTCACAAACTACAAAATAGTTTGGGAATATGCGGGTGTAATTTTCATAATTCCTTCAGAATTTCCAAATTTACAAAATAGTTATTTAATTTCTTGGAGTGTAGGAGAAAGGAAGACAATATCATATAGTTTTTTATCTCAAAAAGTCTTCAGTGTTGGACTGTATTATATAGAATATAAAAGAATTGATTTTTTTAACGATTTTATTATAAAAGTAACTTGTACAAACAAGGCAAACTCTTATATGAATTAATTGTTCTCTTTATTCAATACTCGTCATCATATTTTAGGCGCACTCCCACACATTCCCCCTGACCCGTCACGTGACATTCCCGATCACAACACTCCGCAAGCGTGGTTGCCAGATTGAGTTAAATGTCCGAACATCTAGGTCCACCAAAAAGAAGTAACAAGGTTTTATAAATTGTTCAGAACGGTGCTCGTGTATAGAAGGGTGAGATCCAATGATATATAATAGTTATATAGATTGCTCATCCATAAAATAAACAATTTCTACAATGTATTGGACTATTTATGAAAACACTTGGTAAAAATTGCAATACAAAAACAGTAAAAGTAGTAATAAAATAGATTCTTTTAATATTACACTGATGTACAAACTTTTTTTATATTTTTAAAATTTGACTTTTCATACCTTACCACCAATTTGAATTTAGGAACAAGCATTCCACTATTGACCTAGTCCACAGAATAACGAATGAAATAGAGAAAACCCTGAAAGAAAAGAAGATCTGCACCTCACTCTTTCTAGATGTAGCTCAGGCTTTTGATAAAGTATGGTTAGAGGGTCTTGAATATAAAATAAATGAACTTCTACCTAGGCAAAATTGTGACATCTTAATAACTTACTTGACTGATAGAATGTTCCGAGTAAAACAAGAAAAAGAATATTCCAAGATTAAAGAAACTAAAGCAGGGAAAACCTCAAGGAAGTGTTCTGGGGCCGCAAAATGTGAAAGTAGTCACATTTGCCGACGACACGGCAAAACCATAGAAAAATTGACCAGAAAACTTCAACATGCATTTAATAAAATCTATGAGTGGACAAAAAGATGGACATTAAGCTCAACGAAACTAAAACAGTTAGGTTAACTTCACTAATAAAAAATCAGTAGAATATCTACCAGTAACATTAAATAATACTAGAATAACATATTCTAATTCGGCGAAATACTTAGGCATGAACCTAGATATTAAATTAAAGTCAATAAAAATAAAATTAAAATAACTACAACGTACTTCTTAAATAAAAAAGTTAATAATTTTGCATTTTTTAGATGCATTTTCGTCGTAAGTTTGAGAGATTTTTGTAATTTTCTTTATTTCTTTGGAATGTAGTATACCTAAGGCGGTACTAGATCACAATGGTAAGCCATCCATCCAGTTCTCAAGTCGGATGGCTTGGGTCCTGAAGAAGTAGCCAAAGAAGAAGAAGAAGTGATCGACAATGACCGGAAGGTGCGTGACGGCCTATACTCACCTCCCTAGATAGGCAGAGGTAAAAGAAGTGGCGCCGAAGGTAGGAGAAGGTAGCCAAGTGTCATAAGTACAGGTGTGTCACCTGTCACCTATACAGGTGAGCCAGAAGAGTATTGAGGAGCCTCGCCCAGATTAAAAAAGAGATAGAAGATTAAAACTGATTAAAAGCTGATCAAGACCTGATTAACAACAGATCAAAACCTGATTAACAACCGTGATCTTGATTTATATTCGTTTATATATCAACGATCTGTTTTTGATGAGGCATTGATTTCTTTTTAATCAGGTCTTGATCAGCTTTTGATCACTAACAGTCAGGTTTAATCATCTTTGATCTTCTCTTTTTTAAGCTAGGCGAGGCTCCTCAATACTCTTCTGGCTCACCTGTATAGGTGACACATCTGGGCACACCTGTACTTATGACACCTACCTACCTTTTCCTACCTTCGGCGACACTTTTTTTACCTCTGCTTACCTAGGGAGGTGAGTATAGGCCGTCACGCACCTTCCGGTCATTGTCGATCACTTCTTCTTCTTCGGCTACTTCTTCAGGACCTAAGCCATCCGACTTGAGAACTGGATGGATAGCTTACCATTGTGATCTAGTACCGCCTTAGGTATACTACTGATGCACTTTTACCATTTGTTTTTTTTTTTCTTAATTTCTTCACGTAATAAGGTATGAAAACGAAAAGAAAACGAAATGGCCTCAAATTCAGAGTATTCTAATAACGAATCAGAAGAAGCCTGCATAAAAATAATCATAATTTGTTTGTTTTCCATTTTGTAAATTACTAGTAGTTTACATTTTGTTTTATTAGGTTATGATGTAACGTTTATTTTATATAATTTTGCATTAAATAAGAAGTCAACCAACCCTATTTAGTTCACTGCTTAAATTTACCTAACGGGCTCTATTATTATACAGATTAGTTTCTATAAAATAAACATCGGAAGGTAAATTTATACGAAATTCCGATACGATAGAGAGCAAAGCACCTAAGCAATTTTGAGTTGATAACTATATTTTTATACCCCATTCAAAAATTTTATGCTCCTCAAGGAGCTCTGCTAGCTTCGAATGAAGCCCCTATTTTTTGAAAACAACTATGTCACATTTTTAGACTATTTTTGAGCCGTATTATAAAGCTGTTCAAACATATGACTTTTTTAAACAAACATACCTTATTTTTAGGTTATTTATAGGCTCTTAAAACATATAAAACAATCCAAAAAATATGGCATAGTTGGTTTTATAGAAAACCTTAAAAAATTGAGATGATCTACTGGTTTCGCATGAAGTTAGCAAAGCATTCTATAATTTTTTCGTGAAAAAATGTCAAAATAGTCTGAATTATGGTGAATGAGATAAAACTACTGACTAAAAAAGCCCGCAAAGCTTAGTCATACAAATATTTTGAAAGCAATTAAACTTTTTTCGATTGTTTGTTCCAATTTTACAAATATTTCAACTAACATGTCACCTTATTAGAAAGAGCGAGCAAAAAAAGCAACTTGCTCCTCTTCGCAGTCAAATATGGACATCATATCTACTCTTGTTACACAAATTAATTATGATAAAAATTTTGAATCTGGATTAAAGATTAAATTAAGATAAAGATTCTTACCTTGGAGACATTCTCCTGCATAATCTGGTAGAAACTGTCATTGTAATTAATTGAAATAAAATTTTTCATCAATTTCTTATCCGCATTTTTGAGTTTATCTGATTCCGAAAGTTACTGGTGTCCCAGATGGATTCATTTGGGTATCTGAAACAAAAAAATAGGTAGGTATAGTTAGAAAAATTATATTTAAATTAAAAATATTGTAGTTTGCTGAACCAACTGTAAGTAGAAAACATTTTTTTTAGAAATCTTTTACTAGTTCTTGATAGATCATGATCACATCATGTGCATTAAGGTGGATAATAAGAGTACAACGGTTTTACGTGTAAACCGTTCAAATACAAAAATATTTAGAGCGAAAAGAAAACTGATTTTCTGTTATTACGAATCATTTTTTATCAGTCACACAATCGATTATTTTGCAATCGGGATACCCCATCATTAATGATTAGGCATTTGTATATATCATTTGAAAAAAACTACTAATTATATCAAAAGACATACAAAATTACGATTATTATAATATACATACATATAATGTTAAATAAAAAGATAGTGTGCTCATTTCTTAGAATTTAATGTACATACAGTTAGTTGAAAACGTTTTGTCTTATGCTAATAAAAAAAAAAACGTTACATGACAAAATTACGGAGAATTTATTCCAAACATGTTATTTCAAATAAACAATACAGTTTTACCTAATTAAAGATACTACTCAAAATGAAGAAAGAGTCACCTTTGTAAATTTTTTTTTTTTTTTTTAATAATAATTTGGTATTTATTATTGATTTTGTGTAATAAAAAGATGTGCAGTAAGTAAATTTAATCACAGTTTCTAGGGTCGATTCAAGCTAACTTGTATACATAAAAAATGGATAGTAAAAAAGTTATAGGGTGTTAATTTTGGAAATTTTGTGCTCTTACTCTAAAAAGGTTTAATATATTTTCCCAGTATAAGTGTTCTAGCAGTAATGACACTCCCTGGGCGGGAAAAAGACGCGCAACTTTTACTGAGCTGACGTTTTCGGGATATAATCTATTTTTGTATGTTTTAAAATACTTGCAATGAGGATTTTCCCATTTATTATAATTAATAAATATCATCAGATGATTTGCATCCTAAACTGGTTTCGCATCTTCATCTGGCCTTGTACCAAATTATATTTCAATAATAGACTATTTTTATATGTATTTTAATTGTGAAAATGCACGGGGTATCGTTAGCATGGATTCAATTTACTGTGACGGACAACACATGTTCGATAATCATTGGATTGTATATAATTGAATGGTATTTTAAAATAATAAAAGATGCATATTTATTGTACTCGTATTTACTATTGATATTTTGTTTATATCCCGGAAATTCACAATCATGAATCGTTAATTTATAAAAAATCTAATTAGACTACTTCTTGATTGGCGTTTTTTCCCGCAGAAGCATTGAAGCATAACACTTTTATCGAAATTATAGATAGTTTGTGCTATCTAAAAGAAAAGGAAAACAAAGAAAATTGTTCTTCTACTGAATTAAATATAAAGTTGTAGATATATTTTCAAAAGTCGTCAATTTTGAAAAAACGAATGTATTCCATGTATTTGCATCATACTGTATAATAATACTAAAAGAAATATTTATTCCTTGGTCAAAAATAACGTCTACGAAAACCGTACAGGAGCCGAATTTTAAAAGAGAGAAATTAGTAGCGACATTTTTTGCGCAAAGGCCTGCCCGATGGTTTTGTACGTTTTTGTTATTCGGTATCGGCCTCCAATGTTGTGTGCATGGATCAGAACGTCATGTCGCATGTCAATGCCGACGAATTCTTTAATTAATCTAATTCCGCGTAACCAATTAAGTCGAGCAACCACGTTAATTATACTTACCAGAATTATTATTATTATTATGTCTTCTGTGGCGCTTTAATTACGAAACATATATTATGCAAGAAGATCTTAATATAAATTGTTAAGAAATCGAAAATGTTTCGCCTTTTTTTTATCAAATCTCGTAATATATTACAGATCACAGTCATGGGCGCAGTTCAAAAAATTGCAACCTTGAAATAGGTGCACAATCGGAACCAAAATCCAAAAAGTGGTTTAATTATTCTCAAAATGTTTGTACGACTCTCAACTAAGAGTATTGCGCTGGTAAGCATTTTTTAATCAGTAGTTTTATCCCTTTCAGCACAGGGTTGACAAATTTTCAGTTGAATGAACGTCATATACATATATTTATATCTGAATAAAAACAGAAACTAGCATAAACAACATGAAGTAAGTAGTAGGTGAATACAAAACGAGAGAAACTGAAACTAAACTAACAAAACACTTATTTTAAATATGGTATATAGAGAAATAAAAAAAACAAAGCATATTAGTTATCAAGAAAATCAGAAATCAGCATCTGTATTTTCGTCACATTCCCATTCCTTAGACTTGGTTCTTCAATGATTATATATATATTTACCAAGTTTGCAGCTCTATCGGCACCTATAGTCTATTTTTATGTATGAGAGAGTAATAAAACAGCATTTCTAATGCAAAACTTAGTACGGTCATTTTAAATATTTTTACAGAATAATCTAAATATTTCCTAAAATTGTAATAAATGTACCTGAGCTATTACAAGTTTTGGGTCTTTTATTGGTCCTTTATAAACATAAGCTGTACAGAACAATAGAAAAAGGTTTATACAGGCCAAAAGCCCTGTGTATTAAAGATTGCATAGCCGTATCTTAAAATTATTTTCAATAAGTACCTATTTGCCAATTTAGTTTTATTTTAATTCCAAGAATTTCTTACAGTAATCGAATTATAAGTAGATAAATACCTTCCCAACAAATTTCACCGAAAATGCGATTATAGGTTTTCCATTTAGTAAGGAGGTCCAAGTTGTGTATTCTTGACAGTTTACTAAATGTCGTTTAGTTGCAACTTGCAAGGTGCAGTGTGAATTCTAGTGTGATCATGGAAAATTTGGAACGGCCGCGTAAACGACAAAAAATCGGTCCTTTAACAGTTAATGAAAAAACATTAATATTTAATTGTTTTAAATCATTTACAGACAAACATTTATGTAAAAGTGTTGATGACACAGTGGAATTAGTTAGTAGTACGCTTGGTGTTGGGAAATCTACGATTTACAGAGTTGTTAAAGAATAGAAAAGTGGCGAGTTTCAAACAACACGTAAAGCTCCAGGAAAACCAAAATTTCAATCTTTTGAAAGAAAGACTTCGAAGGAAAGTGGATGCGTTCTTCTTTAGAAAAGAATTTCCGACAGTAGACAAAGTTCTTGCCACGGTTCGAGATGATAAGGATTACCCTGAAATGAGTCGAAGCACACTATGGAAACTTAAAAGAAATAGGTTTTCTATGGAAAAAGCATTCCAGAAAGTCTATTTTAATAGAAAAAAGCGATATTGTAGTATGGAGAAGAAATTACCTAAGGACTATAAAAGAAATGAGAAACCAAAGAAGAAATATATTTTATTTAGATGAAACATGGATCAACGAGGGACATAAACCAAATAAATTTTGGCAAGATGAAACTGTTACAAGTCGAAGACAGGCTTTTTTAAATAATTTATCTACTGGTTTAAATCCACCATCAGGAAAGGGGCGCAGACTAATAATAGTACACATCGGTAGTTCAAACGGTTTTGTTAAAGGTGGTTTATTGACTTTTGAATCTACTCGTACCGGTGATTACCATGAGGACATGAATGCTGATGTCTTTAAAAAATGGTTCGAACAAATTATAGATTTTCTTCCTCAGAACTGTATAATAGTAATGGATAATGCAAGTTATCACTCGAGACTTATAGAAAAAATGCCCACAACCAAGTGGTTAAAAAAAGATTTGCAGAATTGGCTAAATTCAAAGAATATTAAGTTCCATCCCGGTTCTGTGAGAAAAGAACTGTATCATTTGTGTTCCCTTCATAAAGAGAAATTCAAAAAAAATATGAAATTGATGAAATTGCAAAAAATCGTGGGATGACGGTGGTTAGATCACTACCATATCATCCTGATTGAACTGATATGGGCACAGATAAAGGGAGAAGTTTTAAGAAAAAATAATTCTTTTAAAATGAGTGATGTTAAACAGTTGTTTTTGGAGGCTATAAATAATGTGAAGCCTGAAAACTGGGAAAAGGCAGTAAATCATACGATTAAAGAAGAAGAGAAAATGTGGAAGTTGGACAATATTACTGATGAAGTGATCGAGCCACTCATTGTAAATAATGGTTGCGGCAGTTCATCTTCTGATTTCGATTCTGATTTGGAATTGTAGGTAAGAAGTAGTTTTTATATTAAAATTATTATTTATGAACGTAACGTTGTTTAAAAGTCAAAGTTTAAACCCTTATACCTACATAACCCGTTTGACACAATGTTCTTAACATACCTTGTGGAAAAATAAAACATTTTAGAAAAAATTGCACTTTTTTACCTTCAGCTGTTTAGAAGTTATAAGCAGGTTAATTAGGTGAAAATATAAGTGTATACTCGAGGAATAACTTCAAAAAATATTTTAACTGTCTACTAAAAGAAATTCTACGCCTATGGATTACGAACGCTTTATTATTTTGTCTACTGTAGGAAATTATTTTCTAAAGAAGAACGCATGCACTTTCCTTCGAAGTCTTTCTTCCAAAAGATTTTCTAATTGAAATTTTGGTTTTCCTGGAGCTTTTGTGCTGTTTGAAACTCGCCACATTTCTCTTCTTTAACAACTCTGTAAATCGCAGATTTCCCAACACCAAGCGTACTACTAACTAATTCCACTGTGTCATCAACACTTTTACATAAATGTTTATCTGTAAATGATTTAAAACAATTAAATATTAATGTTTTTTCATTAACTGTTAAAGGACCGATTTTTTGTCGTTTACGCGGCCCTTCCAAATTTTCCATGATCACACTAGAATTCACACTGCACCTTGCAAGTTGCAACTAAACGACATTTAGTAAACTGTCAAGAATACACAACTTGGACCTCCTTACTAAATGGAAAACCTATAATCGCATTTTCGGTGAAATTTGTTGGGAAGGTATTTATCTACTTATAATTCGATTACTGTAAGAAATTCTTGGAATTAAAATAAAATAAAATTGGCAAATAGGTACTTATTG